GGTCCCCGTTGAAAAGATCCCACGGGCCAGGACACAGGCTTATGTTTTATCTTTCCAAAAGGAAAACAAAACACAGAGAGGATGAGCAGGCTAAAGGGATTTTGGCGATCAGATGTCATGAGGGAATAAAGGGGAAATCACTCAAAATGTATCTTTGGTACCCAATAGAAAACATTTTCCAATGAAGCCCCAAAGCTCAACTCTGGTTAATGTGTCATAAAATCGTGGATACTAAGACATCAACGTTTTACAATCCACAGATTTTCCAAATGGATTTGGGACTCAGACCTTCAAAGTCATGAAGAAGCAACTTTTGATTATGAAGCAGAGTTTTGGGTTATGGGGATAGAAATATCACACTTGTTATGGGTAAGGTTGCACATCAGATTAATTTAACTCTCATCATGGTTAGTTGTGGCTATATGTTGTATATCTATAAAAGAAAATAAATTGGCAAGTATGATGTGATAGATAAAAATTTCTGATAGGAGAGTCCATAAGATGTTGCACTGCTCATCAAAAGGCTTTCACTTCCTAACATCTGAATCAACCATGGAGCCTGAGGGATACAGACGGGAAGTGTCCTCCCCCTAAAATGCATAGCTTAGGAAATGTGATTGGAGACTGCTAAGAACTGGGATCAACTCAACTGCTGTAAGGTGGGTTTATGTGACAGATATAAAGAGCAGCAGGTGAGGCTGCATCTATAAACCAAATACCTCAGGGGACGTGGTTTGGAAATGCAATGTGGTCATGGTTTTGCGGACTAGCCCATAAACCAGCTTAACATGGTGTTTAGCACTTCTGATCTGCCTCCATGACCTTTGACTATAGCCTGAGGTCTTAAAAGTTTACAAGAGCTGTCATGCAAGGAATATTTGGTCTTTACTTGCCTCAACAGGAGAAGAACTAGAATTAGAAATAGGATGAAAAAAAATGGAATATGGAGGATGCCCAGCAACCATTATTTGACATTCTGACTGAAAATTCTATAGAAAAATCCTGCTCAAAAGGAAGAAAATGTAGAATCACAGATTCCAATAGACTACAGACTTGACAGTATCCTGGAGGCCTAGATGAACCTTTAAAACCATTTCTAGAAAATAATCTTTAAGCTTAAACCAAAAATATCCCTGGAAGTCTTCTAAAGCCAAGTAATGGTTTGAGTTTAATTAGTAAATGTAACTGCCTTAAACACTGTTCTTTTTAAGAACTGTTGTTGTTGTTGTTGTATGTGCCCTCAAATTGGGACCAACTCATAGTGGACCCTCAAGTGAATTTTCAGACGCAGTTAATCACAGGAGGAGACTGCTCTTTTTTCTCCCATAGAGCAACTGATGGATTCAAACCACATGCCTTTGAGTTGGCAGACCAACTCCTTACCATTAGTCCATAAGCATTCCCTTTTAAGAACTATTTGGGATCAAACTGACAATACCAACTCCTAAAAGGTCAAGTTGTAAACTTAAGACTGTGAGTTTATGTTAAAAGGGAGAAGCACTGTGGAAAAAGAGGGTGAGAATGGCTGCACAACTTGAAGATATATACTCACTGTCACTGAGCTGTATGGGTAAAATGCTGAATTGGTTCTGCTGTGGATATTCTCAACAATAAAAAACAAATCCTAAAAAAGGGATAAAGGGGAAATAACCTCTGAACTAAGCAATAAACTAACCTAGCTAAGAAAACTGAAGCCTTAAAGAAGGTATCTGATACCTTTGAAATGATCTGTTTCCTGAGCCTGGACTGTGCTCTGATAAACTGATCTGACAGGAAAATGAGATCAGACAGGATGAGTGAGAAGGGATATGAAAGAAGCAGGGGGAAAAGGGCACAGACCGATAATGGCCATGGTTTCAAGCGATGCTTCAAGAGAAAGAAGCAGCAGGCATTCAGAAGACCGAGGCACGGAGCAGGGAGGTGACTGGGAGGAGGATGGGCAATCTCCTCCCATGCAATTGACTGCTTTTGAAAAGCCGCCAAATGGTCAGCTATCTGTTGGTTCTGACTCAATGGTACAAAGGAACAACAACTATCTGAATAGTTAGCTACCCCTCTTTTAAAATTTCCAAAACTGGCCTCCAGGACTTTGGTGGCTGACATCTGACCCGAGATGGAGCCTGCCACCTGCTTGCTTTGAGCTGTAATCTTACTATTACTTTTGCTATAGAAAGGCCAGGTGCCTGAGTTCAAGAGAATAACGCAGAGCCTCTCACAGTACCAGGATATATGTAAAGCTTTATGCCACAATCAGCCACCTACAAAAAGGTCTGGTGGCCTAAAGGGTAGAGAGGTGCACCATGAACGTAAGGGCGGGTAGTTCAAATTCACCTGAAGCTCTGAGAGTGAGAGATAGGCACTCTTCTCTTGTATGGTTTATAGCCGCTGACAAGCTGAAGGGTCAGCTATGAGTTGGTTCCAACTCAACAGCAATGAACGTCACCTTGTAATCTGACAGTTTAAGAAGACCTCAAACTCACTGCCATTGAGTGGGGAACTGAGGCATGGCTGACTCTCCAGCAAGTTTTCAGAGTCAGTAAATCACATAGGGAGAGGTCATCTCTCTCTCTCCTGAGGAGCTGCTAGGATCTGAACCTTCCAAGAGCGGCTGGCTTTGAGTTAGCAGCACAACTCCCGGAGCACAATGCCACTCATGCCCTTGAAATCAACAGATGAGCTACATCAGCTCAAATTCGAAGATTTCTCCTGTGCGGGGGTGTTAGGAAGGAAAGCTGGCAAACAGGTACCTGCACTGTTGGTTAAATAGAAAGTCCCAGCAGAAGTCAGGTTTTCATTCTTTGAAAGGTTTTTTTAATTTAAAAACTAATGTAAACATTTGAGCAATGGGAAAGTTAGATTAAGCCACCCAAGCAATGTGCTACTTAGAATGACCCCTTTCCTAACATATTTAAAGAACCTTGGTTCTTGAAGGTTTCTTTCATGATTATTAGGCTAACAGCAAAATCCACTTTCTAGCACACACAGTTGTACACAAGCAGGAATGCAGAAAAGAATTCTACTGCCACACTCTTGCAAGCCTGAAGGCCGTGCCAGGGTACGTGTTCAAGGATTAATCAAGAACATTTATACTCAACTTTTAATATTACACATTCAAATCCAAATCCATTGCTATTGATTTGATTCCAATTCACAGCTCACAACTCACCTACATCTGTTTTCTGAGTCTCAATAGGAGAAAAACATCCACCTTTCTTGTGAAGAACAGTAGGTAGATTCAAACTGCTGAACTTGGGGCTAGCAAGCACAATACATCATTTTACTACACAGAAGAACGGGAAAGGCACAGAAAAAAAACATCTACGCTTACAGGGCAAGCACGAGATTTAAAACCTCAGTGGTGTCTATGGAGCACAAGCCAACAGAGAAACGGAAGAATTTCTAAACAGCATAAGTGTAAAAAGACACAGGCTATAAAGAGTGAGAAGTAATTATCAAGAACAAATAAAAGAATATTCTAGAGAGAAGGTACAGAAATGGAGTAAGAAAGCATAAAGCATTCTGCATGTGACAATCAAAAGAAAGAAATGAATATTAACTATGGGAGACTATAAAAGCTGTTTGGGGTTTTTTGGTAAAAAAGAGATTGTATCTAACTATGGTCATGATAGAGAGTAAAATTCACAGTAATGACAAAAATTCCTATCTGTAAAGATGGTATGGTGGTGGTATGTGATCTCCTCTATCTTCATGGCAAGATCAACAGCCCAAGACTGATTCCTAGGGGGGGAGCCTGGCATACCTCAACTCTCTAACCTCTTACTAATTCTGATACCACTCATCCCTCTATCACACTCTCTACTTTCTCTGCTGGGGTGATGATTTGTTTCAATGGCTACACAGAACTCATTCACAGACAATACTCATGATTACAGGACTGAGTAATAGGCTACAGTCTGTTAGAACCAACTTGAGATATCAAGTTCTTCAGCTCTGCCCGTAAGTGACCTCATTATGCCAGCAAGCCTAGACCTAAAAGCCCTCAGCTTGAGCTCCATAGGTCAGTAAATCTAGTTCCACCACAGGCATGGAAACACTTGATTTTATTAGCAAACCTCTTGCCCAGAAGCACTCAGCTTCTTTGGTCCATGCCATCTTCTGCTGAACTTTTGGGTCTGCTGCTGTTCTGGGCCTTTAGAGGATCCCAGTGCAGAGATCAAGTCCAGAGGATGCACTCTTGCCTCTTCCTCTTGGTGACAGTAAAGTTCCTCTTTTTCTGCTTATTTCTCTCTCCTTTGACCTCTTGTAAGATAACAGGTATGACTCAATTAAGCCTGTGGCATAGGATTTACATCACAAAATAAAGGATTATGGTGCTAGTGGTGGTGTCAGAAGTGACTCACAGCTGATCCTCCAGTGGGTTTTCAGAGGCAGTGAAACTGCACAGGAAGGGATGGTTCATCTTTCTCCTGTGGAGCGCCTAGTAGATTCGAAATGCATACCTTTGGGTTGGCAGCTCAAATCTTTGCCCCTAAACTACCAGAGGTAAAGCACTTCACCACAATATTCCAAATGAGTGTTCACTAAAGAGAAATGATTATGATAAAATATCACACAGGACGACAAAGAATCTAAACAATATTCATTACAACACTGATCGTAACCTTGGTGAAAAGAAGGACTAACTCAGGAGTAATACTTTATAACTCCACCAATGAGAAAAACAGCATTAAGAGTAGCAGCTTCTAGTTCCTCAGGCACTGATCAGAGCAGTTAACATGTATTCATTTAGTTAACCGCCTGTACCAGTGCTAACAGCTGTCCCCTTTCACAGAAGAGAAACGGAAGTTCTGGATATTTCTATACTGTCACACAGGTAAAGCGCAGAATGGGCAATCTGCTGCGAGTCTGTGTATCTCCAGTTACTGCACAAGACTCGGGGTTTAATTCTTATTCTGCCTTCCAGGGGCCTCTATATTATCTTGAATATACCAGAAGGACATAATGCACAGAAGAAGCAATAAAGCATCATTATCACTTACCATTGGGAAAAGCTAACACACTGATGATAAGAAAGAAGAAGATAACAGAGAGGATGCCCTTCCAGATGTTGTCTTCTGGGCCAGAATCGTCCCTGAAAATACAAAAACAACATGGAGAATTCAGCTTTAGATCTAAGCCTGGAAGTCAGAGCTTCATGCTCTAACACTGGGGGATTGCTAACGTTTATTTTGCCCAGCAAAATCTCTAGAGAGAAACACTTATTACTTACTATCATTTTCAAAAAAAACAAAATCTCCTAAGAAAATCTAATTCTTGTAATAAAAATAACAGGCAAACTTACATGTTGAATACACTCAGGCATGCCTTTGAAAAACAGTACTCTTTTGAAAGAGGTAAGCTTTTATTTGGAAGAAATGCTTTTGCTTTATTACTAAATTCGACTTCCATGAAGTAATAGAATCTGAGTACCAAAATACATTATGGCAAAACTCATTTCCAGAAATTAAGACAGGAAGCACACAATTATAAGGAAGAAAGCAATCCACAAGGTTATAAAAGAACTTATTTTTTTAAAGATGGCGTTATCTGTTAGTTATTGTTGTTCGATGCCACTGAGTTGAAGTATAGAGGCTCTCTGAACAACAGATCGAAACCTTCATCGTGCAGGATCCTCACAAGCTGTGCCATGCTCAAGCCCACTGCTGTAGTCAGTGTGTCAATCTGTTTAGTTGAAGGTCTTCCTCTCCTTCACGGACCTTCTACCTTTCCCAGCATGATGTCTTTTCATGTACTGGCCTCTGACAACATGCCCAAATTACATGAGATGAAAGTATGTTACCTAGTACTGCTTTAGTAGGAATTCCACAATTGGGTAACTTTAACAAACAGAAATTTATTCTCTCCGTTTTTTGAGGTCAGAAGTCCAGAGTCAGGGTGTGAACTCTCTGGTAAATCTGCAGGCAGGTCCTAAGCTTGGCGTCTCTCTTCCTCCACTCCTGCTACCTGACTGCTTGTTCAGTCTCTTTCTTATCTCAGAAGGGATGGGGAAAAGAGTCACTTTTACATTTATTGTGTCTCATTAATGTAACAAAAATAATTAATTCCAAAATGGAACCACAGCCAAAGGCACCAGATGTTGGGATTTAAATTGTTTTGAAACGGCCGAAAGGGTCAGCAAATTTTCTTGTGCATGGGATTTGATCTGAAAAGTTAACAGAGGTGCTTTGCTCAGAGACAGCAGCGACCAATCTACTCTGAATATACACTGGCTGCCATCTTTGAGCTGGGCAACACTATCAATTTCTTAAAAAAAACCCACATAAGCCAAACCCCCTACTATCAATCAAAATCGCACATGCAACGTGACTGCTCTACAATATGGACATGACCAGTCATGACCAAATCATTTTGAACCAGCTGAGAACCACATTTACGATACACATTGGAGTGGTGGTGGTGGGGGCATAATTCAATTATAAGTGCTCTGAACTTCCAAAAACTTCCCCAGATACATTCTCTTTAACTGCCCCACAGTTCTCTGGGAGAAGGCAGGATGAGTCCATCTTGAACTTGATGGGAATGCACAGCTCTTGCTTTATGCCATCCAGGGGTCCCTGTCTTTGGCAGGGACTCGCGCTGCTAACCCAAAGGCAGCATCGCTCTAGCGATTCAAATGCCCCAGAGGCTCCATGGGAGGAAGACGTGCCCGCTCTTCCCACGCAGATCACAGCCTCAGAAACCCAATGGAGGGTCAGTCACGGGTTGGTTCCAACTCGACGGCAATGAGAGTTAACCTCCCAGTTACAGAAGGTAAGGCGAGAGTAGAGAGTAGTCTTGCTTGTTCTACTTTAAGACTGGTCCATTCACCAATACCACCTAGACCTACAAGCCTTGGGCAACAGGTCTTCCTCCTCTGCTAAACCTGGGAGGTATTCCCGAGGCAGGGCGAAAGCCAGTGCCCTGCCCTCTAAAAGTGAACATACCTGGTTTACAGCCTACAAGCCCGTAATTTAAGCTATTGGTGGGCACTAGTCTCATCTCTTGTTTCTCCTGCTCTGTCCTCTGTGCTCAGTATGGTACTCAGCACACAGCAGACATTCTAAATATACTCGTTGCAAGAATGAGAAGATAATAAGTGAGCGTTTGTGAGTGGCAGGAGAGGTCAGGGACAGGGAGATTAACTATTTCATGGGCACCGAGTAAGTCTGTGTTTGGGGTGATGAAAAACTTTCAGAAATGGGCGGTGGTGATGATATTGTAACATGGCTAATGGTCCTTACTGTACAATGAAAAATGGTTAAAGTGTGCACACCCATGTTTATTGCAGCTTTGTTCACAATAGCAAGGAGTTGGAAACAACCTAAGTGCCCATCAACAAACGAATGGCTAGAGAAGCTGTGGTATATTCACACAATGGAATACTATGCTGCATTAAAAAACAAGGAACTCATGCAATATTATTCAAAATGGTTGACTCTGGAGAACATTATGCTGAGTGAAATATCCCAGCCACAAAAGGACAAATATTACATGATGCCACTGTTGGGGAGAGACTGAGTAAGATGGGTTCAATAATGTATACTGCACTGAAACAGAGGAGGGAGAAAACTGTTTAAAAGAGATATATAACTAGGTATTTCTGTCATCACAGGAGACTAGAGCGAGGGCTACATGGTGGAGGGGACCTGGGGGAGGGTTTGTAAAACAATGAAAGAATCTTTTCTTTTACTTTTCCATAATTTTTGGACTCATGCACTTATAACTTGTTAGTCAAATTTGTGCCTTCTAGGTTGCAACACCCCCATGATACATCTTCAAGGATATGAACATGTACGGCCAAGCACAATCAATAAGAGTGCATCTGAATCCCAAAATCAATCTCCATAATAGTCTATGTGTTTCCTACTGCCAAAGGGGCCCTTTAGAGTAGTGAGAGAAGATCTTCACCCTGAAACCCACAGCGTCCCTTTTCAGCAGGAAGTAGCTAAGAGAATACGCCATCCCCTTTTCTTTATGACTCAGGGTGAAGTCTCTCTCAGGGAGGAGTGATAGGGAATGGCAAAGGACACACTGACAAAGAAGATTAATCAGAACTGGCTTTGACAAGCACTGTGGCATTTGGACAAGAACAAACTGGGAGGAGGGTAGAGAGAATAGTGCAACAAGGAATGAATGGAAACCCAAAATCTCTGTAAATGTTTATGAAAATTAATAAAATATAGAAAAAAATGGTTAAAGTGGCCAATTTTTTTACACACACCTACTACAATTTAATTTAAGGGGGGGAAAAAAAAAAGAATGAGTCATGGCTAGCGCTGAGTGGGGTAGGCAACTCAGGTACCATAAAAGGAGCCACAGCCCAGACCAATGGGGCCTCCAGCAGCAACTGCCCTGGCCAGACGAAAAGGATTAGGCACAGAGGACTACAGAAGCCACGAGCAAAGGAAGCTCAACGTGGGAGAAGTAGACCTTCAACATGATGGGGTGACACGGTCCTCAAGTACATCAGAGATGGTGAAGATGGCATGGGATGGGGCCAGGTTCAAATCTGTTGTTCACAAAGGTGTTATGAGGTGCAGCCTCATGAGGACACATAAACAACAATCAAATATTCAAATGCTTTAACTTCTGTAAACACTCAGAGGGAGCCTGGTGGCCTAGTCTTTAGGGAGTTGTTAACCCACGGTGGTGCCTCCCTGGCAGCTCAGATCTACCAGCTGCTGCAAAGGAGAAAAATGGCCATCCCCTCCTGTGCTTTACAGCTTTGAAATCCAATGGAGGGTCGGTTAGGGGTTGGCTGTGACACAATGGCAGTAAGTCTGAGACTGAGTAAACACCCCGAGAAGAAAGAATGTCCTCGGTGAAGGAAAAACATTAGGGAGGCCAGAGGTTTAATTAAAGGGAGCAGGAAAAAAAAAGTTTGGACTCAGCTTCTCTGTCAGTTTAATATGTGACTCCAGGCAGTGGGCCAGGCAGTTTAAGGCAACAATGGAAACTCCATTCATTCCCACCTGATCTTTATAGAGCAGCTTTCTCCCTGGCACAGAAAGACCAGAGTATCTAACCATAAGCCTTCTTCCACTTCCAAGGCTGTTAAACTGGCTGCGCCGTCCTCTGTCCTTCCACCTTCATTTACCTTTAAAAAAAGTTCCTAACACTGAGACACGTGCCAAACAAAAACACCACGAAGTGCCACTGGACCAAATTCAACAGGGCCATATCGGTGAGATTAGCCACTGTAAAGGATCCGCTCTCCTACCGGAAATTTAATTCCAGGTTACAAAGTATGTGATATTAACCAGCTATAGTATTGTCTGTGAATGGTCTACTCATTTAATAGAAAGTAAAGAGGACTTTTAAAATACAGGAAGACAAAAGGAGACTGTTGTTAAGAATTATAACTGGTATCAAAATCAAGGAGCTCTGGTGGCCTAGTGGTAAGAAGCTGCACTGCAATCCCAAAGGCATGCAGCTGGAATCCACCAGCTGTTCCGCAGGATAAGGATGAACAATTTCTCCCTGTGTGATTAACTGCCTCTGAAAACCCTTTTTGAGGGTGAGCTATGGGTCGGTTCTGTCTCTATGGTACTCATCAAAAAGAACAGTCAAAATCAACTCAGAGATGACCCTCAGCAGGTCTTTAGATGCAGTTAATCACATGAGAGTTGAATGCTCATCTTTCTCACAGAAAGAGCAGCAGGTGGATTTGAACCGTGTGTCTTTGGCCTGGCAGCACAAGTCCTTACCACTAAGCTACTGGAGCTCCACCAGAGGAGGTTATTATTTTGAAGTGTGAGAAACGGAAACAGGATTCCTTGAGTTAAATGAATTCAGATTCCTCACCCCAGTAAGAATAGAAAAATTCAACAGAGCAGCAAACAACAAATGCTGGCGAGTTTGTGGAGAAACTGGAACCCTTATTCACTGTTGGTGGGAGTGTAAAATGGTGCAGCCAATATGGAAGGCAGTATGGTGCTTTCTCAAAAAGTTGGAAATCAAAATACCGTTTGACCCAGCAATTCCACTGGAATATACCCTAAAATTCCAGTGCAATATACCCTAAAGATACCAGAACTGCCACCCAAGCAGATATATGCACATCCATGTTTACTGCATATTTGTTCACAATAG